AAGAAGAAAATACACAGCTACAAAGAGGAAGCACAAGGACCTTTGTGGTGAGGGGAACCATTCTGCTCTTTGATAACTGTGTTAGTTACACGAATCCACACAAGTGGTGAAATAGCACAGAGCAGGTAAGAGTCAATGCCCGCACAACACACGATAGTGATACCTGAAAAGCTCTGTAGGGCTTTTATGTTGGGGAGTGGAGGTGCTAAGGATGGAACCCAGGGCCTTCTGCATGGTAGGCAAGTGCTCTACCACTGAGCTGCAGCCCCCAGCCCTTCTCAAAGGGTTCCAAGACTGCACTGCCCTCAGACAAGACGCCCATGCTAGGAGAACTGTGGGGATGGACCACTAGACTCTGATGTTTCTCTAATGATCTCAAAAGAACAAGTTTAAAAAAAAAAACACCCAAGGAGAAAAAAGAAGGGTATAAATGAAAAATGTGGGCAAATTGTTGAGGATTGTTGACACTGGCTGATTGATCCATGGGCCTTCATTAACTATTCTTTACTTTTGTTTATGTTTGACCTTTTCCGTGATAAACTGTTTTCTTAAGAGTCACTGCTAAACAAATGTCTGTTGAATGAATAAGTGAAAGATTAATGAATAACCGCAGTCCAAACCTGTCCTTCTATAGATAATGGAAGTGGGATCTAGAGGGGAGGGCTGCTCAAGGTCACATGGAATACTCAAGGCTCCTGATGGCCAGTCTAGCTCTTGAAAATATGTAACGCGCCCTACACATGATGCATTTTTTAGAAAAGAATAAGTGACCACTAATTGAGCACTCTAACATAGGAGGGAGAAGGGTTCCCCAGGCTGGCTCATGAAGCCCAGAATAAGAGCTGTGCCCCCGGTGGGGGCAGGCAGACCACCTGGAGCAGGTCAGAGGCGGTATTGCAGAGATACTCCAGGATGAGATCACTAGAATGCCTGGTGTGTTTGAACGTCTTAAAAGAACATTTACACACCCGGAGGAGGGTGCAGGGTTGAATTAGTGATAAGTGTGTGGGAAGCTAAGCAAACAGCAACCCAAAGGACAATTATTAACTCCTGGGAAAACAGAAGTGTTCAGGGAAGAGAAGTCTCAGGGTTTGCAATGGCACTTACGTGGCTGCATAATTTTCAAGGATGGGGACAGGAAGGGGGAGGAGAGCAGAATCCTTTTCTTGCAAAAGAAGCACTGGGTGGGGGGCGGTGAGGTGCACCTGACCTCCCAGGTGGGAGCAAAGGTTCGAGACAGGACTGAGGGGTCCAAGAGGAGACCCACGGGATGCAGCTGGCCCTTCACTCTGCACGTTCTCCTTCAGATTCCCCTGAGTGGCAATGACCACCACCATCTGGGCCCCCTTCCTGCTCCTTCCTGTTCCTCTGTGTGGCCAGTCCTTGCTCCCTTCTGAGGCCAGTCCCTCAGAAAAAGGCACTAGCACCTCCTCCCCGCCTCTGGCCCACTCAAGTTGAAGGTTTGGCTTTTCCAGTGCCTGGCCCCTCTAAGTTACTCATGGGGACACCTCAGAACACAGACACCAACCAGTGCACATGCCCAGCCACAGACACACCTAGGCCACTCTGAGGTGAGGACTCTTGTCCAGTTTCTGCCAGACAATGGCTAAGTAGCACAGAGAAAGAGGGCACTTAGTTCCTCATAGACAGAATGGACAAAAGCTGCAGATCTTGTGGCTTTGGTGACCCAGCATTTCAAGGGAGGGTCCCCACTGCAAGGCCAAAAGCAGCCACCTTGTCAGCACCCACAGGCTGTTGTTTTCAGACACAAGCTGCCTGGCAGTGTGACCCGTAGTGAGCAGAGTGGCTTGAGTGGTATCCCCCAAAAGATGTGTCTGCATTCTGAAGCCTATGAACGTGACCTTATTAAGGAAAACGGTCTTTGCAGATGTAATTAAATTAAGGATGTTAAGATGAGATCCCCCTAGATTATCCAGACAGGCCCTAAATCCAATGACAGATGTCCTTATAAGAGACAGAAAAGAGACAAAGACCACATGAAGACAGAGGCACAGACTAGGACGATGTGGTCATAAGCCAAAGGATGTCTGCAGCTACCAGGAGCCGAGAGAGGCAGGGAGGGTCCTCCCCTAGAGCCTGTAGAGAGATCACAGCCCTGTCCACACCTTGATTTCAGACTCTGGGCTCCAGGCCGGGGAGTGAACACATTTCTGCTGCTTGAGACTCCATTCATGCTCATTTGTTCTGGCAGTCCCAGGACACTCAGCCAGTGGGGCAGACAGAGCAAGTGAGAAAGAGCACAGGGGCACTAAGTGCCATGGATAGTGGGTCGACAGCCTCAGTCAACCCTATCCAGACAGCCCAGACCCCTACAGAATCAAGCTACACAGAACTACCCTTGCCCTGACCAACAGCCCACCGGGCTTCGTTCTGTAAGAACCACTGTTGCCCAACACTACTGCCAGGTCCATTCTCACAAGAACCAAACCAAGCTGTGAAGAAAAGGGGCTGGGGACACAGTGGCTCCCCTCCACCCTTTCACTCATGGGCCTACTCTACAGCCATAATTCTCGAAAGAACCATCTACACTCGCTCCACTGCCTCAGTGCCCACTCAATAGTCACCCATGACCTGCCTCCTCCCCTATCTCCTGTAACCTTTGCCCACTGTCTTCTCTGACATGACCCTCCTGGAGGGCCCCTGGTGCAGCTTAAGCTCCTTGATCTGTGGCTTTGACTAGGGGAGGGGCAGGAGCGAGCTGGGACTTCAGCAGCCTGTCCTCGTCCTTGGAGGCGTCCTTGGTGTGGAATCAGGGAGCCAGCGCTGTGAGCAGCAGTGAAGAGCATAGCCAAGAGGAACCGAATGGCCATTGACTGCAAGGAACAAGAGGAGGGGAGGGCTGTGGCAAAGATAAGGACCTGGCAGAGTGGGGGCTGAGGGCTCCCATGCACCCCGGATCTCCCCAGACACACCACAAAGCCCAGCAGCCAGAGCCTCCAGGCCACAGGATGGCCTCCCAGCTGCATAGCGCTGCCACTCAGGGGCCATGGGATGCCAGAGGGTGGGAGGTTGGCAGCAACCTGCTACAGCCATGCTGACTCCAAGGAGCTCAGAGGCTGTCTGGGCCCAGGCATGAACTGCCCCTAGCAAGTTGGCTTCATCTAGGTGACTATCTGGCTCCTCTGCTTAGAGCACATCAGTGCTGTGGTGATCGTCCTTTGGTTTTGTTCACTTTTCTACCACCAGAGCCTAGCACAGCCATCATAGGTGCTTCGGTATTTGTTGGCAGAATGAACAAGTGAACGAATGAAAAGTCCGATGCTCCATGAAAGAATAGGGAGCAGAGGTGGCTGACACAGCCCTTGCACCGCAACACTGCGGTCAAGGCAAGGCTGGTGTGCCTTCTTCCTCTTTGAGGGGTGGCCTGAGGACAAAGGGGCCTCCTGCTCAAACTCACATGCCCTGAAGCCTGGGTTCCCCTGAGGACTCATTAGCAGCTCTCTTCTCACTGCCCCCACGTCCAAGTCTCTTCCTCAGTCAGACTTTTTGGGCCACCCCTAGGCAGTGACCCCTAAGTTAACTTAATCTTACCAGTCAGGGAAGCCACTTGCAAAGGATGAGGCAGCAGGGTGCTGCATGGAGGGGTGAAAACTGGGAGGAAGAGAGGAGCAGGGACTGGGGAGGTCACGCTCTACTCTCCTCTCCGGCTGGCCCTTGCAGCTCTGGCTGCTCTGCTGCTCCCCAGCTCTGTTCTCCCCTGTCCCAGGCTGACCCAGGATAGGCCTGGGAGCTGCCAGGGTACAGAGAGTGGGTTCTGTGCTGGGGCCAGCTGTGGGAGCCAGGTGAGCTGAGACAGAGGGGCTGTCCTGTGTCTCAGCTTGCTGGGCTGGCCAGGGTGGCTGTGGGGCCCTAGAGACTGAGGCATATGTGCATCCAGTTCAAAAAGTAGGTGCAAGGACTAGAAGTGTTCCAGTGTGGGGACAGGGTCATGGGGAACCTGCATTCACCAGGTGCTGGTATTCCCCTCAGATACCAAAGGCTCAGGGCCACCAGGTCCCTTGCTCTCCCAGCCCTGTCTGCTGGGAACTGCCCCCCACCCCCACCCCCACCCCCACCCCCAGACTGACCTGGGGTTCTTGTCTTCAGGTGGCCCTGGGCTCTGACCAGCACAGCTTAGCTCACAGCAAGGAACACTCGGTTGGCCTGTGCTCCCAGCACGAAGGCTACCTGTCCCAGGCTTGGGTGGAAGGCTGGATACCCACTCAGGGTGCTTCTGCCTGTGGGGAGTGCAGATGGAACGGGGCCAAGTACAAGCACAGCTTCAGGGCCCCTTCCCTGGAACAGAGGCCCTGAAGCCCAAGATGCCTGCTCCCTGGGGCACTGGCTGGGCAGCTCCAGGACTTGGCTCCTGAAGGGCAGTGGGGCAATGGTGGCTTTGTCCACTCCAAAAGATGTCTACACCTTGACTTCAGTCTCTGGTCTCCAGAACTGGGAGAGTTGTTTTAAGCCCCCAGATTTGTGGTCACTTCATGTGTTCACCCCCGGACACTCCCGTGTGGGGGACCGGGGGAGCCCAGTGCCCTCTTGGGCCAGTAGAGGTGGTGGGACTGGGCCTTCGTGCCAGTATCATCTAGTCACTGGAAGGAGCTGGGTCACCTTGCAAGTCTGCTCCCTTTGGCCTTGACAGTTCCCAGGGAGCGTGGGCAGCTTTCCCAGAAGCCGGGGTGGGGGTCCTGGGGTCACACCCACATCCACTGTGGGAGGAGTGGCAGGGTGTGCTCAGCTTGCACATCTGACACAACTCTAGAAACGGTGGCCCAGGGGACCGCATGTGTGCACGACTATCTTCAGCAGCGTGGGGCTATCCTCTTGATGGTGTAGCTTTGTTGTGGTCAGTCTGCAGAGTATGCACACCTGAAGCAAACCAAAGGGACACCGAGAAACCCAGTTATATCAGGAGTTGAAATCTCTTCTAGAATTTGTTCAATGTTTTATTGGAGGAATATCAGACACTTGGCACCTGCAGAGAATGAGGGCCCATGGGTGCACCCGTTAGCATCAGCAGCCGCCCCACTGTGGTCCTCTCCCTCATCTCCCCTTCTCTGACACAGGCAACCTCACCTCTGCAACAAATCCAGAATCAGAACCTTGGCCCTCGTCTGTACCAGCCAGGACCAGAAGCTGGCCCACTCAGCAGGGGTGCCCAGAGCGCCCCAAATCAGGCCCTGGTCCATACCCAATGGTCAGATCAGAGCCAGGGTAGGCAAGAGGTATCTCGAGGGCCATGCAGGAAGCAGGGCCCTAGGTGGGGGCAGGTCCAGACAGCAATTTCCCCAGGCATTTGCCCTCACATTAAGGGGTGTGCACAGAGTCAAGAGGAAGCAAGGTCAGGTCAGAGCTGGAAGAGATGGAATGTGTGGCAACACAGTATGAAGGTCAGGTGACACAGCAGCTGGAGGCAAGAGGGCTGCAGCCAGAAGTTTTGAGAGATGGGTGAGAGGTCCATGGAGCTGAGATTGCCAGGAAGAAAGCCAGGGCCACTGAGCCTGGGGTGCTCTCCCTGCCTGCCTGTCCACTCCTTACCCAGCCAGGCTTCCAGCCAGGCCCGCGCACCCACCCACCATCTCACAGGGATGGGGCTGCTCTTGCCCACCCTGCACTGCCTCCCTTGCGGGGATCCCTGGAGTACTGGGTAAGTTCATTGCCAAGTACACACCCAGGTCCTGCGTGGCTTCCGATGCCCACTCCCTGCCCCTGCCACGCCTAATGCAATGTTAGGTGCAATTTCTTCTTCCCAGCCTGTCTGCTCCTAGTCTGCATGCCTTCCCTGGAACACACACGCAGGCCACAGGTTGCTTGCTCCCCTCAGCACACATGCAGGCTGCTGGAAGTGGGGCTGGAAGTCTCTCGCCTTTTCTCTTTTCAGCAGCCTCCTAAGAGACTGGGTGAGGGGTGGGACACACATACACACCCATATCCCCATATACATATACACAGACATGTGCACACATCTACATACTCTCATACACGCACCACACATTCATACACATGCCCCCCGTGACACAGTAGCAGACACATGTATGCAGACACACAAATGTGTGAAAACTGTTGATCCCCAACCCACATGGTGAGGACAGCTGGGCCTTCCCACCCTGAGACTGCACAACTGAATCTTGGTAGAGGACAACTCCAAGGAGCCTGTCAGCCTACTATCTAGTCAGACCGTTCCCCTCCTGCTCCCTAGGGGACACCAGGGCTATTCTCAGAGCCAGCCAACCAGTAACAGGCACTGGGCATTTGTGCCCTTCCTGTGGGTGGTGGGAGCATCTCTCCCTTCCCCAGAAAGCTCACCCCACCAGGGCCAGGCCTGCTACCCCCACCTTGCCAACTTCTCCTCACTCACCACTTGGAGGACACAAAGGGCCAAGGGACAATGTAAGGAAACCAGAGAAGGGGTGACCTTGGAGCAGCCAGCTAAAATGGGGCCCAAGATGGTGGGAGAGGCAGTGGAAAGGGGTGCTACCAATGACCAGTGTGTCTGCTTTCCCCTCAGGAAAGGTCTATATACAGGTGAGTGGGATCACGTGTGCCCGAGCGCAAGCAGGCAAAGCAGCATGTGTGATCACACACTCTGAATGCTGGAGAACGTGTGGCTGTGCAGTGGCAAGCCAGGGAGGCCTTGTCCATGTACATGACTTGTGTGTGTATGTGTGTGTATCTGTCTGGCTGTGCGTGTGTGTGCATGTGTGAACAAGCCAGGGAATAAGTACACTCTGCCCACGGGGACTCTAGGAGCTGAATTGGAATTTGAGGAGCATCTTCAGGCCTTGCAATAAAGGGATCCATCTACAGGCTCCTCTCCAACGTACTTGTGTACTCACAGCAGAGGCCCCGTGGCACAGTGCACTCCAGCTGTGCAGACATGCACTCTCGGCCCCTCAGCAGGAAAAGCACTCTTGCCCTGAACCATCTGGTGAACTCCTACTTCAACAGGCAGCTCAGTAGCTCACCCTCAATGGCACTTTCCATGGTCCTGCCTTCTCTGTGGGTCTTGTGAGCTACTTGTTGAGGGTGGTTAACTTCCTCCTGGCTCCTCAGCTCCTATCCCAGTAACTATATCCAGACCTAGATTGTCTCTGGAAACTCCTTGGCTTAGTTCATTCCTTTCATATACATATGCTGGGTGCCTGCCATGTTATGCTTCCTCCCGAAAGACAAGCTCTTAGTTAACACAGTTAGTTAACATAACTAATCACCAATTACGAAATTAGGGTGCGTATTTAGAAAGACTAATTTAGAGCAGGATTTACAGAAATGTCAGTAACTAAGAATAAACTAAGAATCTTCCTTCAAGTCAATTATGAGCTACTGTTTGTTCATCTGAGTCTGTTTTAGAGGCAGAATATGCACTTCACTGAACACCTTTCCATGAAGTTACAGACTTCTTGTCCTTCCTTTTCCTGAGTCTGGGTCAAAATAGCCAAAGAAACAAAACTACCTTCCCTGAATCAAGTTCTCGTTCCCTTTGAGACTCTCCCCTGTTACCAGTCTTCAAACACCATGAAATGCATAGCTGGTGAAAAAAATAATAATCTGTATGAAATCTTAAATGTTTCATTTCAATACTAATAACAACTAATGCTGGGCACAGTGGCTCACACCTACAAACCTAGCTACTCAGGAGGCAGAGATCAGGAAGATATGGTTCAAAGCCAGCCTCAGCAAATAGTTCTATGGAACCTATCTCAAAAAACCCTTCACAAAAAAAGGGCTGGTGGAGTAGCTGAAGGTGCAGACCCTGAGTTCAACCCCCAGTACCACAAAAAAAAAATACAACTTATGATAAAGGGTCATTCCACCAAGAGGATGTATCAATCCTAAATAAATATGCACCAAACAACAAAGCTTCAAGACATAAATTTATGGCTGGAGAATTCAACAAATCAGTAGGAGGGGGAAGAGGAAGGAGAGGGTGCTGGGGAACGGATGTGATTGAAGTAAATTATATATGTATGAAAATAGCACAATGAAACCCACTAGAAACTGTTTAAAAGGGGGAGAGAGGCCTGGGTGCTGGTGGCTCATGCCTGTAATCCTAGCTACTCAGGAGGCAGAGATCAGGAGGATCAAGATTTGAAGCCAGCCTTGGCAAATAGTTCATGAAACCCTATCATCTCGAAAATGCCCAACACAAAAAAGGGCTGGTGGAGTAGCTCAAATGGTAGAGTGCCTAGCAAGCATGAAGCCCTGAGTTCAAGCCCCAGTGCTGCAAGAAAAAGGGGAGTTGGAGAGACAGAAGAAAGGGGGTAAAGAAAGAGTAATACAGGTGGGTGAATGTGATCAAAATACAGTATATGCATATGTAAGTAACACAACGGCACTCCTTTGTACAATTAATTTATGTTAATAAATAAATTTTTTTAAACTGACCAAATAACCAGACAGAAAATCAGCAAGAATATAAAAGAACTTAATAATGTCAACAAACAGGACCTATTAGACATTTACAGAGCACTCCATCCAACAACAGCAGAATGCCCATTCTTTGTAAGTGCCCATGGAACACATACCAATCGATATGGACCATATCCCAGGAAAACCTCAACAAATTTCAAAGAACTGAAATTACACAGAGTGTGTTCTCCAGCCACAGTAGAATCAAACTACAAATTAATACTAGAAAAATCTCCACACAACAGAAATCTAAATAATACATTTCTAAATAATCCATGGGTCACGCAGGGGGTGTGGCTCAGTGATAGGCCCTGAGTTCAAGCCCTACCATAATTAATTGGTTAATACATTCGTTAATTAAGTTGTTAATCAATTAATAACCCATGGGTCAAAGGGGAAGTCTGAAGACAAAAAGTTTCTCTTGCGGTACTGAGGAATGAGGTCAGGGCCTCTCGCTTGCAAGCCCTCCACCACTTGAGCCACACCTCCAGTCGCTATGCTTTGAGTTTGTTTTTCAGATAGGGTCTTACGTTTTTGCCCAGATCAGCCTTGGACCTTGATCCTTCCGTCCAAGCTAATCCTCCTGATTAACTAGGATTTCAGGTGTGCACCACCACACCTGGCTAAAGAAAAATTGTTGGCAGTACTGGGGTTTGGACTGAGGGCCTCACACTTGCTAGGCAGGCACTTTATCACTTGAGCCAAGCCCCAGACCTTTTTGCCTTAGTTATCTTTCAAATAGACTCTTGCATTTTTGCCCAGGTAGACCTGAGCTATGCTCTTCCTATTTATGCCTCCCACTTAGCTGAGATGACAGGCACACCCCCACCATATCCACCTTTATCATGTGAGACGGGATCTCGCTAACTTTTTGCCCAAGTTGGCTTCAAACCGTGATCCACCAGATCTCTGCCTCCCAAGTAATTGGGATTACAGGCAGGAGCCACTATGCATGGCCAAAAAAAAATCTTTTGCAGTACTGGGGTTTGAACTCAGGGCCTGCACCTTGAGCCACTCCACTAGTCCTTTTTGTGAAGGGTATTTTTGAGATAGGGTCTCGAGAACTATTTGCCTGGGTGGCTTCGAACCATGATCCTCCTGATCTCTGCCTCCTGAGTATCTAGGATTACAGGTGTGAGCCACCAGCGCCCAGATCCAAAGCAAAAATTTTAATACACCAAAATAAATTGGAGAAAATCCTACAGCATGGCAAAATTTGTGGAATGCCGCTAGCACGGAGCTAAGATGCACATTAATGGCACAAACAGAAAGATCACTCTCTCCCTAAAAGGAAACCAATTTCTCAAAAGTAGGACAGCACACAGGGAGAGGGTTGGCAATTTGCCTGACTCAATCAACATTACCTGTCAAACCTAATACACTTTATTATGTTTTCTTTCTTTTTTCTTTTTCGTTGGTACTGGGTTTGAACTCAGGGCTTTGTGTTTGCTAGGCAAGCACTCTCCTACTTGAGCCACTCCTCCAGCTGGGGACATGGCTTAAGTGGTAGAGTATTTACCCAGCAAGCCTGAGGCCTTGAGTTCAAACCTCAGTACTGCCAAAAGAAGGAGGAGGAGGAGGAGGAGGAGAATGCCAAAATCTGAATATATCAGGAAGCTGTGAGTGTTTGGACCTCTTAAATCTCACTGGATCCAGAATTAAAATCCAAAGTTGAGTTAAGCGCCGGGTACACCTCAGACTGATTGAATTACTCTGAGCAAGCCATTCAAATGTTTGGAATGTCAGTTCCTTCCTCTGTAAAATACTGAGGCATCTCATCTACTTCAT